GCGCAATTCAAGGGCTCGGTTCAGGGGCAATCACCACCATCGGGGAGCCCGCTGCGGCCTTCCATTCTGCGGTCGATCAATTCGCCTCAACACTATTCCCTCTATTCAATCATCTATCGTTCAATCCTTCAGCACAATACGGTACGTTGCCACCTCGAATGGTCCCAGCGTCACCTCAAAGGATCCCTCCGACACGGCAACCTCCTCGAGGTCATCCTCCAGAATGTTCGTCTTGAATACCTTATCGACCGCAAACGCCGACGTGATGGTTCCCCTCGCCAAGCCGCCGACGGCATCGTACAGGCGCACGATAACCGATCTCGCCTTGCGCGTCGGCAGACTATCCAGCGAAACATCCTCGTCGTCCTCGCCTCGCTTCACCCAGTCAAGCACGAGGTGGTCGTCGCCCGAAAGCGCGATAGGCGACGGGCCCGACAGCAGCGCCGATTCGGCTCCCTTCGACACAAGCCGCAGCGGGTTGTTGAAGTTGAATGCAGCGCGCACCGTCTCGGCGCCAAGCCCGCCACGGTGCGGCATCAGCGCCCATCGGATCCGGTGGCGGCCCATGTCGGCGTTGCCATCGGGCGCCTTGGGCGATCGCAGCAGCGACAGCCTCATGACGTTTCCAACGGTCGCGAAGCCATACTTGCTATCGTTGAGCACCGACACACCGTACCCATGCTCCGACAAGTCTGCGAACTTGTGGCAGCACACCTCGAACTTGGCCATGTCCCACGAAGTGTTGTAGTGCGTCGGTCGCCGGATGACGCCGTACTGCGTCTCATACGAGGCCTCGGTATTGTTCACGCGCACGGGGAACTCGACCTTGAGGAACTTCATCGTCTCGTGCCAGTCGACGTCGGCCGTGCACTCGATTTGCGAGGGCTGGTCGTCGCCCAGGGTCGCCGAGAGAGAGATGGTCGTACGCATCGAGCTGTGCTCGCTGATGCGCGTCTCCGTCACCACGCTCGCACGGTAGCCCTTGTCTTCATGGATCGTCGTCGTTGAGCTGGCCAGCTCCTCGCGCGTCTCGAGGTGGTAGACTTCGACGTCCCACGCCTGCCAGTAGACAGGCTTGTCGTCGAAGATGACGAATTGATTCGCCTTGCCGGCGAGGACCTGGCGCTTGGCTCCGCGGTCGTAGACGGACGTGATGACGCCCATCTCGACATCGACTGTCAGTTGATCGTTCTCGAGGCGGAACACGCCGGGCGACGTCTCCTGGATGGTGACCTTGGGGCCGTCGGCCGAGGCCTTGAACGACTCGACTGCCAGGGCGTGGCCCTCGCCCGAAGCGACGACAGCCTCGGTCTCGGAAATTTCGACGAGCTCCTTTCGCGGCCAAGGCAGGGTGTTGAGGGCGACGGCCGATTCAAGCTTGAGGCTGCTGGGGGAGTCGGCCGTCTCGACACCTAGGGCGACGAGAGCCTGCTGCAGCAAGCCCGACGCGGTCGCCTTGAGATTGGCGTAGATCTATCACCGTCAGTTTGAGCTCACATTGTTCAAGCTTCACCAGATCGCCTACCTTCTCCGAATCATCATAGCACATCTCAATGGCCGTGCCAGGCAAGCAGTCATGGAACTGGCACAGCATCAGGCCCTGCCACATCTCGTCCAGCTCTTTCTTCGGGTACTTGAAGCTTCTGTCCTGGATCGAGGCGTACGTCGAAAGAAGCTCAAGGTCGTGCAGCAGAATCTCACAGCTGCGGTTGTGCAGCTTGGTGCGTGCCTGGGTCGTGTACACGCCCCGATGCAGCTCAAAGTACAGCTCGCCGTACCACGTCACCAGGTTGGATGCCTTCTCCTCCAGTCGGTCGAAGAACTGGTCCACAGTCGCGCCAGAGTGGACGCGAGGGATGACACCCACTGTGTCGGCCATGCCGCGGAGGCGTCGGAGTCGCTCGAGGTGCTGCCATGTTGGGCCACCACCGCCGTCGCCCTTGCCGAACTGTGGTCTGATCAGTCAAGCCCTTTTCCTTGGAACTGGTGAACTCACGGCAATCAGCGCAGTGTTGTCCTGGTCAAGCGACTTGTGGTTGGAGATGCTGCTGGTGATGTTCTGGTAGTTGCCCTCGGCGCAGTACGTTTTGCAAGGCGGCATGTGGCAAAGCACCTGACTTCCATCGAGAGCGACCCTGGACAGCGTCAGTCAACAAATCCTGGCAGCACCTCAAAGGCTTCACTCACCAGTTGAAGGTCGTATGCGGGAATTCGTTGACGCTGTTGAAGCACGGCTTCTGCGTCATGAACCTCGTCATCCCCGCCTGCCGACAGATCTGCGGAATCTGGCACGAGAATCCAAACGTATCAGGGAGCCAAGACGTTGTCGACCGGAAGCCGAACTCAGCCTCGAAGAAGCGCTGTCCGTACAGGAATTGGCGCACCAGCGACTCGCCGCAAGGGAGGTTGGTATCGTGCTCGACCCAGGAGCCACCGATGGGGTGGAACTGTCCCGACTTGACCTTGGCCTTGACGCGCTCCCAGCCGTGCGGGTAGATCTCCTTGAGCCATTTGAACTGCGGGTGTTAGCGACATCTTGAGAGTACTGACATCGACTCACCTGCTGCGCCTGCGAACAGGCAAAGTTGAGCTCAGGATACCGGTCCATCAGGTCGCACTGGTTCGACCACGACCGGACGACCTTGCGCTTTGTCTCGTCCCACGGCCACAACCAGCACGTGTCAATGTGACAGTGGCCGATAGCGTAGACGGTCGGTCTCCGGTCGAGGGCGCTGTCGTACACCGCGGCAGAGTCGATCTTGTTTCCAAGGTACTCGGCCGCAATCTTGCGACAGGCCGCGACCGAGGCATCATCCCCGGCGCGGAAGGTGTCAATGATCCTGCTGGCCACATTGAGCGCCTCATGCTGCTCCCATGTATCCTCGCCCAGCTCCGTGGCAGCATCGTGGATGAGGCCAAAGTCCATGTGTAGCATCCGCGCCTGGTAGTTGACAGCTACGAGCTCGGCCTTGGCTAGCTTGAAGAACTTGTTCTGGTCGGGCGGCTGGATCGAGTCGCCACCAGCATTGTTCTTGAAGATTGGCCGGCCGGGCCCGTTACCAAACATGCCGTTGCAGGCCATCTCGAGGTAGAGGACGTGCTCCGCGCCGTCCTTGAAGTCGTCCGGAACAATCCACTCGACACGCTCGCCGCGACCCGTCAGGCCTTGGAGAGGCTCACCGCGGGCGTTCCAGACGGTCGCCTCGTTGCTGCAGTCCCAGTGCAGCTCGACGTGGGAAGCCTGGTCGCAGAGCGCTGGGGGCAGGGTAAGGGCACATCGGAACCAGTGTGTCGTCCATGAGGGGCCAAAGGACTCGCCGACTTGCGTGGGCCGGTACTCGTTGGTGTCGGCCGTGGCTTCGGTGAAGGTAGGGCGGGTGGTGCCCGGTGCATCCCAGACGGAGAGCTGGACGTGCGGCGCGCCGGAGTATTGGCCGTAGTTGAGCGAGCTGCGAAAAGGATGTAATCAGTAACAGCCTGCGAAGCAACAAGAGACGGACCTACGCAAGCAGGTTGACCTTCTCCCACTGTCCCGGGGTGAAGAAGTTGACCAGTCGCTTCTTGTACAGCGATGTGATCTTCTTGCCCACGGGCCCGGGGGCCTTGATGGGGTAGGGCTGCGCGGTCGTCGCGAGGGCCTCCCCGTGCGTGGGGGCATGGGAACCGTGTGAACACATTGCGGTGGTGATGTGTGTGTTTGTCGACTATGTGCAGATGTTACGCCTGGTGTGAAGATGGAGGGGCAAATATGGACGAGGAAGCAGACGGGAGCTTCGGTGTATTGCTAGACGAGAGCCGTCGTCATGTATCCCTCCATGTGCTCTTATTTGGGGAAATGTCACCGACACCGACACCTGGTCGGTTCGGGGGAAGCCCCGGGGATCCTTGGGGAGACCCCATCGACTGGGGATGGAATCCTTGGGCCCCACGATGCCTGTTCCAAGTAGAAGCGTCTGTGGCTACACGAGGTCGGGGCTTTTGTCCGTTTGGAGAGGCAAAGCGGTGACACCGTTGCATCAAGAGGGGTCGACACGCCAGATGAAGCGTCAAGAGCCAACGCCTTGGCCCCGGAAACCGGCGTCAGGAGTATGGAAGTGGCCAAGACGGCGAAAGATACACAGCACTCCTCCACCGCCCACCGACATTCCACTTCACTGCCCTGTCTTAGGCTGGCCTGTTGGTCGGGGAAACCTGGGGGACTTTGGGGATGAGTGGTGGGGAGAAGGGGGTTCATGGTGGGGGAAGGATAGGGGGTGATCTGGTTGCCCCTGAACACACAGGCGTGGTGATTCTGAGCGAGTGGTCGCGGCCCAAACCCCGGCTCCGGCCGTTTGTCCGAGTCAGGCCAGATGTTTGCTAGCGTGCACAGCAGTGGAGGGGAGCAGCTTCCTTGATCCTGACAGTGACCAGTCGAGGGACGATGGATGCATTGCTACTCCTGAGATTGGCCAACCCGCTTGACTCTCCACCATCCTGTTTTCCGGGCATCGGTCAACATGCCGACAGGCCCCGTGATTCCCCAGAGCAAAGCCCGTCTAGCCGAGCCAGCTCTCAAGCTGCCCCGCAGGGTCCAGACGTCCAGACAGACAGGCGAGATCAGCTCAACTGTGGACGCTAGGCGGCGAGTGGATATGTGTGGATATGACGGCGAACGGTGAATCCTGCCACGGGTCCAGATTTTCCATGCTACAAGCATGAAATGGCAGCGAGGAAGAACATTCTCACCCTCTTGTCGACCAAGGAAACAGCCTGACCATTTGAGGGCCAAAAAGCTTTTGTCTGGCATGAAAGGTGTTACATCCACCCGCCAGAACGGGGTGGTTCCCCGTGGGGACTGTGCCGTGTAGCCGCCCACTAGTAGTGTTGTGCTTGAGGTCTATCACGACAAGTGAATTGCAGTGCAGCACACAAGTGGATATGTGCGCCACGGGCCCATCTGGATGCATGCTTGCGACATTATCCACCCACGATGAGGCATTTCATGACAAAAAGGAAACAATTGAGGGATGCCGGAGTTGAACCGACGACCTTCTGGACTGGAATCAGATATTCTACCACTGAACTAATCCCCCTGTGATGGTAGGATGGCGGTGGAAGCATGATGTTGAGGGGCGGCCCTACACGTCACGACCTCACATCCAAACCGCCGTTGGAGACTTTCGCTTATTGTGAAAGGGCATAAGAGGACGATCGATATGGTGTGTTTCAATTCCAGACCGCTGTCGGCCATTGCGAAAGCCCTCGGCCCTGGCCAAGACCCCCTACTCGAATTTCCAGCCCAAGCAAGTGATGCGCACCATTGCGAACGGCACTGACTTGAATTTTGCCGTACCCAATGTGCACGCACCATCGAACTAGTGAGTGCGCTTCTCGCCGTCAGCAGTCTGCTCGACCTGCTCGATGAAGCCGAGCTTCTCGGAGGTCTGGTCGGGCAGGTTGAACTCGAACACTATGGCAGCCAGGTTAGCAAGGTCCATCACAATCGACATGCTAGGGCACACTTACGATCAATGGGCGCAGTCGAGAACTTGCGAGCCGATGTCTTCTTCTTGAACAAGTAATCGATATCTGCGAAGCTGCGGTTTTTAGTCTCAGGCAGGCAGAACCAGATGTAGATGACCCAGGCGAAGCATAGGCAGAAGTAGACCATGCCTGTCTTCGCGCCCAGGTTCCAGGCGTCGCTGCTGTCGTTGAGCATGCGCGGGTTGATCTGCTGCACCACCAGGCCGCAGCACACGTAGATTCCGCGGCCGAGGACGATGGTCTGCGCGCGCACACGGTTCGAGGGCATCTCGCCGACGATGACGTACGTGGTAGGGCCCAGCGAGATCTTGAAGGCGCACTGCACGGCGATCATGAAGACCGCGACGGGGATGGCGATGCTCTTGCGGTTGTTGCCGGCCACGAAGCCCATGATGCCGATGACGAGCATACAGCCTCCAATAGCGCTGGAGCCGAACAGGTAGAACATGCGGCGGCCGATCCTGCCCATCAGGCAGATTGCGATGGCGGTGGCAAAGATGTTGACGGACTGGATGCCCATGTTGTAGTTGAACGCCTGGACGGGGTCCATTCCGATGGAGCGCAGCATAATGGCGGCGTACTGGGTAATGGATTGACCTGAAGGAGGACCTGTCAGTGCTGTACTCTGGAGTAGTCGAAGAAGGAGGCTCACCGTTAAGCATCTGGATAAGCCAAGCCATGCAGACGATACCGGTGCGACGGAGGTTAGTACCGCGGAAGCAGTCCCTGTAGCTCGAGTCGGCAGCTTCGAGTTTCTCCATCTCGTTGGTGTGCTTCATCAAAGCGATCGTCTGGGCCATGGATTCCTCGGTATAGAAGCCCTTGCGCGCAAGGCGGCGGAGCGAAGCCTCGGCATCTTCGATGCGACCGCGACGAACGAGATACCACGGACTCTCGGGAGCGAGGAATCCGACAAGCAGCAGGGGTGGGATCCATGCCCACTGGATACCGTAGGGGATGCGCCATCCTGCGTCGCTCTGGATGGTGATGGACGCGCGGAGAACGCCAGTGGCGAGGAAGCTACCGCAGCCCCAGCACATGGACACCCACGCGGTCAGGTAACCGCGCATAGCGGCGGGACAGATTTCGGCGGCATAGGCGGTGGTCAGGGTTTGGAAGATGCCCTGGGAGAGATGATGTAAGTAAAGCTTCGGGCTCTGCGGCGAAGAGGCGGAGGTGACATACCCAGGGAATACCGCAGATGATGTTACCGGCGAGCAGCATCTCGACGCTGGTGGAGAAGAAGAGGATGAAGATAGTTCCAGCCATCAAGACCATGGCGCCCTGAACAAGAAAGTGTTAGCCAAATATATCCAAACATCTGGGCAATCGTTTGGCAGGACGTCTCATCCTCAATTCCGTGAGCACATACCATGTAGACGCGACGCGAACCAAAGCGAGACTGCAGGTAGCCGTTGAGCAGCAGGCCGAAAAGCGAGCCGATGTTGTTGCCAGCACCGATGGCACCCTGCCAGGCGACCGAAATGTGCTGGTCACCCGTGACTGGGTCAGGCCACCCGAAGCGGTTGAGGTAGGCCGGGTGAGCGAAGAAGTTGTTGATCAGGCCAACGTCCATACCCTCCATGACCAGGGCCACGCTGAGGAGCATGCTGTAGATGGCGGCAGGCGCATAGCGGCTGAAGAGCTCCTTGCGAGGGAGCAGAGACTCGGCGTCACTGGCGGCTTTTGCAGCCTCGATGAGCTCGACCTCGGGGCTGTACGGGACCTGGGCCCGCGGGTCGGACTCGACCTTGCTGTCATCGTGGGTTGCCATGGCTGACTTCTTCGTGCCGAGGGGACTGGCGAAGGGGGAGAAGGTGGATGGGTGAGAGGCAACTGAGAGCAAGCCGGTGAGGGAGAGAGAGCAGGGTGACCAGGAGGCGGGCGAAGGCGGGAGATATGTACTTGGAGTTTCCGGGGTGGTATCAAGCCATCGCCCCGGGTTAGCTTCCTACTCTGGGGTAACACCAGTCCGCCTCTCGGCCGGTTCGACCCCGAGGGGAAATGTGAAGGTGGCAAGACTAACGTGGTGGACTAGACATTTCCCCATGGGGGTCCACGAGGGTGAGACTCCCCGACGTGAGGCTACCTTGCTTCCCCGGTCCTTGTCGCGTCACGGTCACGAACTCAAGGCCAAACAGTGGTCCCCTGGTCTCCTGACCCAACTCGGTGGCCTGCTCGCTTCAAGGATGATGGATCCTCTCCCCTCACAGATGCCTCCTACGCCAGTGTTAGCACTGGCCGACACGAGAGGGACTTTGGAAACGGGTCCCCAAACCGACCTAAGGAACTGCCGTAATCCCGAGCCAGACGTTGTCAACGGCCGCGAGTCAACGGGCGCCAACCAATTGCTGTGCAAGGCTCATCTCGCAAGCAAGGATTCTCCTCATGCGCCCTGCCCCTCGATTTCCCCCTCTCTCGGTATACCCCCACACGTATCCCGGTTTGAACCCCCCTCTCGCGTGCGGTCTTCTTGGCTTGTTTGGGCATTGAGGCATGAATACGAGGTGTGAATCGGCGAGGAAGGCCATGGGATCTGCACTGGAGCGCCGAGGCTCGGACCCGACTGGCAGACGTGCGAAAGGATGCCGGCTTGGCTTCCAAGGATCGGGCATGGCAAAGCTTACGCCGATGGGGGCGCACCATGGGGAGTATTGCCCCGTGGCATTTGAAGTCCGGGAACAAAGACCCAGTGTTGGATTGGCCGAAGACGTTAGGGGATGACTCGTCCTTCCGATTCCAGGTTGTTGGACATTGGGATGTTTTCTGACTCCATGATGTCTACTAGCATGTTCCCGGTTCTCATCTTGTTTTCAGCCCAGCATCTGTTCAATCATCTCACTAGACACACCATGACGAGAGACTTGAACACGGGGCAGTTGGGCCCGGGTTTCGAGCTGGGTTATTGCACGTGGCCAGGCAGTAGGTCGCCTCGTCTTCCCCAGAAGACGCCATGATCCTTCCAGCCAAGATGTCCCCAGCTTCCTGCTGCAATTCTCCGGTGAAAGTCCTGATCCGGCGCACGCAATGAAACTAGGAACCATGCCATTGGTAGCTGCTTATTGCTGTGAAAGGATGTATGAAGACCATATCGCCGAACTTGACTGCCTTCACTTCCGCCTGACTACCTGGCTGCCCCGGGCCCCTCGGGCTCCGGCAGCTCGGGCTGGGTTGCCCCAGTTGATACCCCGGCCGTTCGTCCCGGGGACACTCCCCAAGCCCCAACGGCCAACATGGCACATGGCCTAAGGTCCGTCTAGTCTTCCCGACAGGAACACCAACCTGGTCTAGACGCATTTCCAGCTCGACGCCTCCTTATGGTCACTGCCCAGGAACGTCTGCTCCCTTGGCCACGCGCAGTGGTCACGCTCAATATCAACGCCAAGTGCCACCGCGTCATCAACGAATCTCGTGCCCCTGAGCGTCTCGGGTGCTTTACCCTGCTCGACCCAGGCCACAATAGCGCTCAGGACGTTACGTCCAGGATCAAATCCCACGCCCGCGGCTGGCGCCCCGCCCCCTTGCCCAAAGGCCCAAGCCCCCGGTCCCGTGCTACAGTGGAACATGCCCGAGATGGGGAAGTATCGGTGCCAGTCCCCGAGCTTGTCGTCAGAGTCTGCCATGCGCTGCACAAACCGCTCTGTGTTGAATTGCGTCACTTGATGGTCTTGACCACCGTGGTACGTGATGAGCTTTCCGCCGCGCCTCTTGAAGGCTGGCAGGTGTCTGGGGTATGTGCGGATGTTGAAAGGGTTGAGATGCTCGGCTCGACGGACAAGGTCGAAATCGTAGTCTTCAGCCTGCCAGGTTGGATCGCTAAGGACGACATAGCGAAACCATTCCTAGGCACGTCAGTACATATGGCCACCATCTCCGTTGGGAAGACTGAAAACGCACCACGGAGTGGGGAAATGGCTGGCCGGAGAGTAGCCGTTCTATGGCCTTCTTCTCGTTCCCCGGGTTCATGCGGGGGAAGATGAGCTCGCCGTCAGGGTAGGTGTACGGAGCGTAAATCTTCTCCAGCTGCTGCACCTGAGCCGCGTTGAGACATTGCGTCTTGTCGCTTTCTCCACCACAAAAAAGCGTCGATGGATCAAAATGACACTTGTTGGGGATCTCGATGATGCCATCTGCGACGCCATCAATAGCGTCACACTGCCTGAGAACCTCGTCGTGAATGAGCCCCGTCCATGTGTCGGCAGTGATGAAGTCCTTGGATCCGACGGCTCCTGTGATGGTGTAGAACATGGCCCGCTGGCCTTGGAGGTTGTTGAAATCGACAGTCGGCGCGCCGGCGACGATGCCGTCATAGTCATTTGGGTACACTTCGGCAGCCTTGATGCCCATGCGGCCTCCTAGGGAGCAGCCTATGTAGTAGGAATGAGCTGGTCGCTTCTCGTAGAACTGTTCGATAATCTTCTTGGCCGACTCGGTGCCGACGTGAAGACTGCGCGTCGGTCAGCACTTCTTCCTGCCAGTATAGAGTTGAGGACCATACGCTCGATAAGAGAAGTCCTCGATGACATCAGGGTTGTTCAGCATCGCCGCT